TCGGCCCGCAGTTCACCAATAAGAAGGGCCGCGCGATTCTGGACGCCTCGTTCAGCCCCGACGGCCGAATGTTGGCCACAGCCGACTGTTACGGCCGGTTCGCGCTGTACGGCGCCGGCGATCTGGAGCCGTACCTATCGGTTCCGTCGCAGCTGTTCTTTCACTCCGATTATCACCCGATGCTTAAAACGAACCATAAATTAAAGTACGTGGACAAACTGACCGAACTCGAGCCACACCTGCTTCCCGTGCCTTTTCTGGTCAATATCGATGGCGCGCCGCACCCGTCGTGTGCGCAGCGTCTGGTGCCCGGGCGTGAGGACACCCGTCACTATCAAAACGATCAGTTTGTGTGCCTTAAAGACAACAATAAATTCAGTAAACGATTGTTTTTTATTAATAAGTGTTTTGTGTTCAATTGGGTGTTATTTTTGTTTTGTTTTTGGTGACCAGTTTTGACGCCCGTAACCGATGTGAACGATACGCCTCCGGAGCCTATATTCGCCGATAAAGTGAAGCATTTAACGGAGATTTTGGCCAAACACACGACCGCTTCCAACGTATTCGACATTTTGTTCATTAATTACATTAAACTCTTGATGAAGAAGAAGGATCCGATTCCCTTCACTCAGTTCTTTGAGATACTTGTAAAATATTTGGTACATTTTTTTGGACGACCGCTTCCAACGTATTCGACATTTTGTTCATTAATTACATTAAACTCTTGATGAAGAAGAAGGATCCGATTCCCTTCACTCAGTTCTTTGAGATACTTGTAAAATATTTGGTACATTTTTTTGGTTACGATTTGGTGTTTACTTTTTTGATCGAAATATTGTTTAAATGATTTAATTTAAACATAGGTCTCAAACATGACTGTCGAAGAGTTTCAATTTGAACTCAATCTAGTGGTGGGCTGTCCAGAGGCCGACCTCATGGTTCCAGTTCTGGAGGTAATTGGTTGACGCGTTTATGTTTAGCGAATCAAATTAACTAATGATTAAATTTTTTGGTGTTTAGTATTGGTTGCCATACTTTAAGCCCAAATCGCAAACTGAGATCTTCTCCAATACTGCTATTTCGCAGGAAACCAAAGACCGACTTCTGGTCAGTAGTGTTTGTCTTGTCATTGTCTTTATGATTGTTAACTAATGGTGTTCTTCGCGACCACAGATGGGAATCAATCGGAAAGGAGGCGAAGACATGGCCGGTGATGATGAGCCGGAGTTTGTCTCGAAGCCTATCGTTTTAATGTATTCCACTTTCTCTCTGCTGTCCATTGATTGTAAGTTTTGCAGTTAATTATGTCATTTACGATGAAGTAATCATTTGTCAATATCTTGTGGTAAATTAGTTGTTAGCAAACACTCTGTTTACACGACAGACGAGCCGTCGAGGAAGGATATCAACGAATGTGGAGTTTATTTGTCATTGATTTTATTGTTTTCAAGTATACAACCGCAGAGTATATGCAATAAAGTGCACGGTTTGGTCCAAAGGCTGATTGTAAGCCGTGTTTTATTTCACTTTATAACACATTTAATTGAAAATTTAGACTAAAATTTAATTATTTTTATTATTTATGTGATAACAGAACGATACCATAAAAGTGGACGACTTTATGAGTAAAGTGACAGACCTTCTTGAGCTGGAGATCCGTACGGGAATCACTTCGGATCTATTGAAAGTAATTATTACTCAAAAAGTCTTTATGAGTCAAAAATATTCAAACAATGTCTTAATTGTTGTCCATATATTTATCACAGCAAACACTTCCTGAACTGCGGTATGTATTGAGCAAAAACATGGCATCACTTGAGGGCATCACAATCGGTCCGTTGCCGGCCTCCAAGTCGGTGAGCCGACTGAACAGAGGCCAGCCGTCAGAACACGACTACTTCGACGCCCGCTATGAGGACAGTTCGGACAAACGGACGCTGTATTTGCGGGACAAACGCAAATGCAAAGGCGCTTTCAAAGAGCTGTACTGGAAAGTGGCCAACAAACAGCTCCGCCGTCGACCCGGACACTGGGTTTCCTACGACTTTGACGCCACTCTGGACACGGTTTGGGGCGACGCCGGCCGGTCAGCGGTGGACCAGTTGACCGTCGATGAGTTGAACGCCGTGTACGACCAGTTGAAGCGCAGAGAAATGAGCGAAATTGAACTCTTCCAGGAGTTTCGCAACGAAGTCCTGTCCGCCGCGTAATTATCATTAGATTGTCACTCATTTTTTTTGGTCAGCAATTAATAGATTGTTTTATCGATTTCAGACCCCAAAAAGTATCCGCCGATACGATGGCAGACATTAAGGGCGTCCGAAGTGCCGCCGATATGAAAGCCTCCGCCGGTGTATCCGAAATGAGTCACTATTCACAGCCGGACAGTCCGGCGCCATCGGCGGCCTCGTCGTCGGCCCAATCTATGACCTCCAGAGGTAGTTCGGGCGCTAAGAGAGTCCTAAGGACTCGTCCGCGAGAGTCGGGCGAAACGCCGTCCAAAAGGGTTCGGCGTTCAGAGCGGCGACTCTCTAGTCGTCGACTGAACCCGAAGCTCGAAGCCATCGCTGAGAGTGAGGCACCAATTGATGGTCACAACAATAGCAACTTATCCGCTGTGATAACACCGCCAGAAACCGTCACCAGTTCTGCCATCGATTCGACTGTCAATTCAGTCGATGACAGTTACGAAGTGACAGATACCGCGTCAGAGGCTCCACAAACTCCGTCCCCTCCGCCGTCGGTATACTCTCCCCCGCCATCGCCTCCACCGCAGACACCGTCTCCGCCGCCGTCGGCAGAGTCCCCTCCGGCGCCCCAAATGGCCAGTTGTGGCACAAACACCACCACAACTACATTACAGACTGTCGAAGAGATTCTACCAAATGTCGACGATTTGGATCTAATTGTCGACGAAAAACCCATTGATCTCACGCTTTGCCCAAAGGCTTGCGAAACTCAAACTCAGACCACTTTCCAGGAGTTTATGCGCGACTCCGAGACACAGACTGACCCGCAGTTTGACATAAAGCCAGTCATTAAACGTGAAATTAAAACCGAGATTAAAGCCGAACATCAGTTCCAGTATTTGTGTATTTTCTGCAAAACTGGCCGACAGTTCGCCGACCGTAAGGAAGCGTACGACCACTACCGCAGCCACTTGTCGGTTGTCATCCGCTGTGACGAGTGTTTGGCCAACTTCTCCACCGCTAAGGCTTTCGGGCTTCACGACCAAAATCACGCCAAGAGCCCGAAGAATGCGGTAAACGTTCGCAACTATCGGTTGTCCACCGAATGGATTGATTCGTATCTCAATTACCAAATGACAGAAGAGTTTGGGCGACTGTGCGGTCGATCGCTGGTGGAGTTCTGTCCCGTGTGTTGTGCCGTCAAAGTGACCGCCAGAGCCAATCACAAGGCGTTCGCTCAATGTTTGGCCGCCGAAGACTCGACCACTTTTGAAGAGCATATCAGCGCTCACCTGCTCTGCGATCACGTATTCGAGTGCCTTCAGTGCCCGACAGTGACGGCCGCCGCGACCACTGCCACCACATCTACAGCCGTTGACATTGACTCCGAGTCACAGAAGTATTATTTCGGCCGAACGGAGGCCACGAAGCACTTGATGTCTGTCCACTCTCTGCGACCGAAACCCAATCAATCGCTCGAAGAATACTTTTTAAGAGTCACTCAATTGAGTCCCAATTTGGAGGCGTTTGTCAACCGATGTGTTGTTATTCACAACTCTATTAACGTTTTATACGAAACCAATTCAATCGATTCATAATTGCATTTATAATATAAATATTTATATAATTTTTAGTTTTTTGTTATTTAATCTGTTTTTTGGTTGAATTTATAGACGAAATTATTAACGAATTATTATTGAACTGAATTTTTAAATTGTTTTGCTTATTAGAGTAAATTGTTTTGTATTCAATTTTTTGATACACTTGTAAACACATTGTCATTACAATTGTGTTAATTATTGATTTTATTGTTTACTACTTAATGTATTTAAGTTTCAAAAAATTATTAAAAAGTATAAAAGTATTTGCGATCAGTATTTCTGTTAAATTGTGAAAAACAAAATCATTAATGATTTAAATAATTGTTTTCAGCGAAATATACCAAACAATTGTTATAAACAATATTTAAACTATTGATTCAAATATCTAACAATTTTAATTTTGTACTCATTCTTGTAATTTGTCATACATTTAATAAAACATAATTTATTAATACAATCAACTGATAAACAATTATTTGTAAAATTATTACAAATGTTTAGAGGACAGGGAGGGGAAGAGGGGTCAGTACTACCAATGCTTTTAATTGCTCACAACAATTGCTACAAATGATTGATGGGATCTCTATATATAGGTATACCTTGAGTTAAAATAAACGCTAAATTTATAAATGCTATAAACAATTAACACAACAATTAAAAACTAAATAAAAACTTTTTAAAAAATTTCAAACAATAGTTTAAAAAGTATTTTAAACCAAAAAAACGTTCACTTGATTTCAAGTTTCACTGCTATTCACATCGTTTCCCAAACTCTCGAAGAAAATCATCACAAATTGTGTCGAAAAATGCAAATTTTATCTTTGATTACAAACCTGTTCTCGCGTTGTGTCCACTATTGGATCGGAGATGTGTTCCCGCAATACAGCCATCACTCGGAGGCCAACGAACCCGATGTCAGCCCAACCGAAGGCATCAGATTCTCGACCGTTTACGACCACTTCGTGGGCAATACTAAGGCCGCCGATACCGACCCTCTCTGGTCTTACATCCAGCCATCCGGCGGTCATTTTCGGGCGAATCCCCAGCTCTACGCCGGCGGTCAACACCGGACTGACGCCCAGCACAACACCACCGGTCACTACAGGCCTAACACTCAGCTCAACGGACGCCACTTCAGGCCCGACTGCCGGCCAAAACCGGTTCACCACTTAAAGAGTGGTCAAAAGGCCGACAAAGGGGTTGCAAAGGACAGACACGATCGGCAGTACGAGGACTGTGGGCACGACTCGCACGGGTTGTCCAGAGATCGAACAGAGTGTCGGCCGTCGGTCGTCGACCCAAATGCTTTTGGGTCTGAGGACTGGATCCTCGACTCATACGAGTGGCGGCAGGAATCGGACGACTGGGAGCTCTCTTTCTGGCTGTTGGAGAGGCTGTACGAGTCGGGCGATCGTACAGACGAGTGGCGACGGCGTTGGGCCGACTGCTGGTCTCGTTATGACCGGTGGAGGACAGCGTTCGGCCTCTGGTGTCACGGCTTTGACGAGTGGAGGGCCGGAGGGCGTCGGGTGACCGATCCGTTCGGTCATCCGATGGCCCGTTAGAGCGCTGGGGAGTCGTGTGGGTGAAGAGGCGGGGAGTGTATGAGTGGTGAGTCTGGACACAGAGCCACAGGTGACCCGTCAGCGACCCTTTCATCCCTTCGGGCGTTAGGATAGACACAGAGCCGCCGGCGACCCGTCTACAGACCACCGCAATAACCATCGTTACACTCCCCCTGTGGTGACCACAACATCGGCACCACCTCTTCATCACCTCTTCACCACACGGTTGGGGCCATCGGTGCCGACCGCCGACGACCGGCGCCTCCAAACTGGGCCATCGGTGCCGACCGCCGACGACCGGCGCCTCCAAACTGGGCCATCGGTGCCGACGTCAGCCGTTCGTTGAGTTTTTCAAAAATAAAAAGGTTTTCTAAAACTGATTGCAATTAACATTCATTTCAAACATTTAATTCTCATAACACTTACTGTCCGTCCGTTTAATCATATATTTCTCACATTAAGTATTGTTTAAATCATAATTTAATTGCGAAATGAATGTAATTGTGATTAAGTGACACAAAATGATCATTTTATTCGTCATTACAAACAAATTATTTTACATTTTTATTACTTTTTATAACTTTTTATTAAACATAATCTGAAAAGTGTTTTACGTTTCAATTGCTGTCAATATTAGACATCAAAGACTTAACTCTTGTATACTTTTGGTGTCGAATCTTGTCTTCGAGTTCTATATCTTCGGCACTCTTTTGCCTGTTTTTCGGAATATTATTCT